AAATTAGAGAATCCAAGCCAATGTACAACCCAAGAATCCCAGGCAATATGAAATCAGAGACTCCACTGCAAACTACAAACCCATCACAAGCCAGCTCAAGCAAAGAATGCAATGTTGCAAGGTCAACAAATCCAATTTCAAAGAACAGCATCAATGCCAAACCAATACTGGGAAGTTGATACCAAGCCCAGGGAAGACACATAGTAAAATTAAAGGGGGGGGGCAGTCCTGGGAGCCTCAAAATGCTGGCTCCCAGTGTTCATGGTTACTCCCAAATATTTCTGGGGTTTTTTTGGAACCCATTTCCTGGTACCTAGAAGCTATAATGACCAAACTGAAGCTACTGTACTTTGGTCACATTATTAGAAGACAAGACCATAATGACAAGACAGTAATGCTATGAAAAGTTGAAGGCAAAAGGAAAACAGGAAGATCCAGCATGAGATGGATTGACTCAGCCAAGGAAGCCATGGCCCTCAGTTTGCAAGACCTGAGCAAGGCTGTTAAGGATAGGACATTGTTGGAGTTCATCAATCCATAGGGTTGCCATAAACCAGAAGTGACTTGACAGCACTTAACACACACACACACACACACACATTTTTCAGTATCCCCCCAAAATACCTGATACTGTCCAGAGACCTGAATATATCTGAGAAATACCAATAAGGTATTTTTTGATATATATTTGTACTGGATATATCCAAATCCACATCCCTACTGGCTATATGGTAACACATTCTCCCCTAGTGAGATTTTTTTTTGTTATTGTTGATTTCTTAATTAAATTGTCCAAATAAGTAAACCACACAGCAAGCTACTGTAAGGAGAAGATTTATATTTAAGCATTTTTACAGTTGTGCATTAAAAATGTTATTACCAGGTATTTTTAAAATAGGACAACATACAGGATGAACATGGAAAAGTTGAGTGACATATGATGTTCACTGTCTGAATGTCTGCTTCAACTACAGATATTCTGGCAGGCAAAGCTCTAGCACCATGAATGCCTGTAGGTAAGCCAAAAATACCCAGCCTCCTTATTGCATTGTGAAGTGATGCAGCTTCTCTGACATTAATATCTAGAAGTAAAGCCCACAGCAGTTGGTATACTATGATCTGTTAACAGTAGGCAATATACATAATTCACAACCAGCATTGAACTAATTTCCAATAACAGTTTCTTGTTCCCTAGAAAATTTGGGACTGTGAATGATGCTGAAATAAATACTGCTATTTTTTTAAAAAAATAGTAAAAAGTCTGGACACAGACATGCTTTAAAAAGACAACATTATTTTGTCATGTTTTCTCTTAATCACCATATGAATCTGGTATTCGTTGCATGATTGCTGAGTGCTAGACTAAAATTAGGTCAGCTAGAAACAAAGACTTAACTGTACGCAGAGGATAGATATCTTAATACTAGCTTGCTGGGAAAGATCTCTTCTCAGGTATGCTTTTCTCCTTACAATTAGCTCCTTGCCATAATCTGTGCTGCCATAAATTGCACCCCATCAGAAGTATTCCTGATACCATTGTCATTCATATATGCATTACTATTTCTTCCATCCCTGAAATGCTTTAGGGGCCAATGTGAAGTGCAAGGATGTGCTGCATATTCTTCTATATGCTTGTGATATGTGGCATCACCACTGTAATAACAAAATAATTACTGCACAATTCTGAAAAACAGTACTTTTCTGAAAGCAAATTTGTGCTATGCATAGGCATATATCATACTGAAATAATATAGTGAAATATCCAGCTTGAGATTTTTAGGAAGTACACAGTCTGTAACTATTCTAAATAAATAAAACATGTAAATAGATAAAATAAGCTTCCTGGAAAGACAGCAGCCCAGTGTGCTGAAAGTGTGCTCCTTTTATACATTAGCAGAGCAGTTATGTGAAAATGTGCCAAGTCCTATACTCAAGTCACCATCAGCTGCTCATAAAATCAACACTTTCATGTTGGAATTCCAAAGGTCTAGTCAATTGCTGCCAAAAGTGCTGCTTTCTCTGTAGGGAA